AGAGAGAGAGAGAGAGAGAGAGAGAGAGAGAGAGAGAGAGAGAGAGAGAGAGAGAGAGAGAGAGAGTCCGACTGACCGACCGAACCGACTGACCGACCCACAAGACACAGTATGAACACTGGTAGAATGTCAAGTCCATAACATCGTGTGCGCTGAGTTTTACGAGGACCGCAGGCATTCTGAGTCCCTTCCAATGTCCCTTCCCATCCACACGAGATCTAGCCGAACTGCATACGCTTGACGCGCTGCAACAGCAGTGAATTGAAGGGAAACTTAACTCCTCCGTAACTTCAGAGGTCGGACAAATACTTCTGTATCGGATCCGGAATTCGCCTTCATATGAACTTCCACAATGCGGTCCCAAGCCCACACCTCATCCCTCTCCGTCTCTAGTCCCTGCACATCCTGGAACGTTCCTGAAGATCTTCGTTGTTATTGTAACTCCACATCAGATTGGATCATTTCATCTCACATTATGTATGGAGTGGGTGTCCCTTTGACCAAAGCTCATCCTGACGCAAAGCGAGAGAAGCCGGCTCTTATCAGAAGCGGGCACAGCGAGCACAAAGGGTCTGTAAGGGGCCACACCCCTTACAGACCCCTTTCCTAAGAAGGCATCTTTCAGAAGCCCCAGAACTTTGTGGGCTCCATCCCGGTCCTTCCCTCCTCGGCCCTTCCTGTGCTTCTCTGTCTCCTTACCTTTCGACTGCCCTGTACACCCTCTATCTTCACCTTTCCATCTTTCTGCTATGTTGCACTCTTTATCGACTTCCTGAGCTCTTCATCTTCTTTTCTCTTACCTTCTCTCGTCCCTTCCCATCCGCACGGATCCCAGTTCACCTGGTCTGTGGCAGTGGGTATCCTATGTCCCTGACGCCACCGATTGCTATGTACCCTCTTTAGCCTTATGTACGCTTGGCGCATCTCATGCCTCGCCCTCGCCCTCGCCCTCGCCCTCGCCCTCGCCCTCGCTCTCTCTCTCACCCTCTCCCTCAGCCTCGCTCTCGCCCTCACTCTCGCCCTTATGCTCGCCCTCACTCTCGCCCTTATGCTCGCCCTTGCTCTGCCATTTGCCGTAACCCTCGCGGCATCCCTCTCACACTCTACTCCCCTTGTAACCCACCGCTGCTCCCGCTCTATTGTCAAACGCCTTGGGTCTCAGGCTTTCTCCTGCTGTTACCTCTTCCTCCTCACCCTGGCCCTGGCCCTGGCCCTCGTCCTCGCCCTCGCCCTCCCCCTCGCCCTCATGCTCACCATCACTGTATCCCTTCTCATCCCTCTTACAGTCCACACCTTTCGCAAACCCCTCTCCTTATCCTATGCTGTCAAACGCCTGCGGGTATCCCAGTTTCTGCTGCTATTTCCTCTTTTCCTGTTCTTCTCTACCTCTCCGTACGCTTTACCCTGCCCATCTCTATCCTTCACCGTCACCCTTGCCGTGAAGGCCACAGAAGCAAGCAAAGAAGAGGACCCTTGCCTCACTGATATCAGACATGGGGGTCCACCATGTTTTTGAAAAAAGCCCGCGAAATCGACTCTGCCTCATCATTATATTCTTTGCGGAACGGTGAAAGCTACAAGCATAACGAGTCACTGCTTTCGGCCTGAGGTGTTCACATACATGGCCAAAAGGCCCAAAACACAATCGAAGGCACTTCCTGCATGAATACCCACAAGAATCCCTTCCATAAACTCCATAACTACCAGCATGTGGACAATCACGAACATCCAGCAACCAGAACAAGGCGCCAGCCCCCCTTTGCCGCCCTAACACAAACCTACTGCCCCAACAGAAATACACCTTTCACAGTAGAAGTAATCAGCGCAGCGCACGGACTTGATCCTGCCAGATGGACATACAGCAGTGACGCTCTCGACCAGCGGCTACTTCTGTCACAGCAAACACTTGCTCACTTAAAAAATGCACGTTAGTGTATAAGATGCTACGCAGAACACGGAGCAACAACCTAGAGAGCTGTAGGTAGGAAGATGGAAACAAATTCACTCAATACAATAAACTGTGGAATCCTTTATCGAATTACATGGTGGACATCCAAAATACAAGGCCCGTCAAGATCAACAAGCTCAAAATCCTTCAATCGGTCTAAGACGATGGCAATACACGACGGATTGAGGACAAGTGGATATTGATTAACAAGGAATGTACACATCGCAAAATCGTCTGTAGTAGGTCAATGACGGGTGCAGATCTCGCTCGCATTACTTACTACATACATGGTGGGGAGCAGAAAACTAACTAGCAACCCCAAGGTCCTCCATTGAGGTAATCACATGCCGAACACACGCCTTGCGCATAGTTTAAGGGTGCTGCAGGGGCTCAGCATTTGAAAAACCGTAGTCATGACTGACGGGTCTTCCCGGCACCGGATAGAGCAGCTGCCCCATAGCAAAGCTGAGGCGAATAAGCCACAGACACCCAAGCACTCAACTCTGCAGAACAGCAGAGCGTACCTTAGAGAACGCCAGGCACCGGTGTCAGCAGTGCTCTAGCAAGGATTTGGCAAACAGGAAGAGAAGACGCTTCAACGTCAGAGCTCTGTGAATGGAATGATCCATAAATGAAGGCTCCTCCTGCCTGGATTCGCCTTTCTGGACGGCAGAACCCATGGCCAGAAGCACATAATCCGGGTAAATGGAACCTTGCCATCATACGACAGCAGACAATGGCAGCATGTACCCCTCGAGTCACAACTGGTTAGATGGTTGTTGGCTCAGCAGGAGACACGTCAATGCCACCATTTTTCTGGCCGATATCCCAGTAAGACCGACGACTCCGACGAACGATACTTTTTCATCAATGGCACGCTCAGGCCGTGCACATCACCCGCCACAACTTACCCTCCCCTTTCGCCTGGAGATCGTTCCCTCACAGAGTGTAGCAGCTCAACCTTTATAATGTAACATCTAACGGCGGACGTTGACAAATCCTGTATCTGGCAAAAAAAAACACCTCGAGGTTCCACTCCCCAGCAATCAATCAAACGAAATTCAAACCGCACACACCATATCAACGAATGCAAGAACAAATCTGTGCATGTTGTGTGTGTGGCCGTGTTGTCATATTCGCTATACACTCAAAAAAAGCATGACTGTGCCAGACTGTTTTGTCGGACTTTCACCGAATGTGTGTGTGTGTGTGTGTGTGTGTGTGTGTGTGTGTGTGCGTGTGTGTGTGTGCGAGTGTGTGTGTGTGTGTGTGTGTGTGTGTGTGTGTGTGTGTGTGTGTGTGTGTGTGTGTGTGTGTGTGCACGTGAGTTAGACTAGGTTGGGGCCCAGTCGCTTTTCACGGCGGCCTTTTTCGACCCCTCCGAGGTCATCAAGTAATTCCGCAAGTAGTCTATCGAAGACGCTGGTCTCTAAGTCCTGCCCAATCTCTTCATACTCCTTATGGAACTTTTGCAGCCATTGCTGACTAGAGAGATCTCTGCTGAGCATGGAGTCCATCGTGGCGCCCTGTCTTCGAGCATGCTCTGACCAACCACGGAGCATCGCCCACACCTCCTTCACAAGCTCTTTCCCAGAGGGCTGGCGTTTAAGTTGCTTGCACGTGCTGGATGTCCCCAGCCATTTGCGAATGCCGTCCTCTTCAGGAGCCAGCTTCCTCGCCAGACCCTCACTCACTGCATTGAACAGTAGCCACCTCCTCTCCTTCCTGGTCATCACCGCTCCAAGAGGATCACAGGAAGACAAACACGGATGAGGAGGAGCAGGTGGGGTGGTGGGAGGGAAAGAGGTGCCATGTTCGTGATTTTGATGGCCGTCCTCGAGACTGAAGAATGAGTTACGGTCAGCAGCCAACGGCTCTGCCATTGTGTCCTCCAGACAGCTAAGCGTTCCCGGTTCGCTGCCCAAAGTTCCCCCTCTTTCTCTCTCCATCTGCTGAAAAAGAGCAGGCTCCAACGGCTGTCCCGGAGTGTACCACTTCACCTTCGATCTAACCCTTTCGTCCTCCGTGGCAAATCCTGAGGCTGCGATGACGTCTCGAACGTACACCAGATCCTCCCTCGCTGTCTGGGATTCGCAGCGAATCAGCTCATCCCCAGGAATGGGAATGCAAGTGGGAATGGGACTAGGACCAAAGTCAGTGGCTCGTGCAACAGGCCTCAGAGCAGCTGTCGATTCTGGAGAGAAGATGTCGAACCAGGCGTCTGCATCGTCTCTGGCACCAACAGACTCAGTTGAGGTCGGTTCTCCTAAGGTGGTCGAGGTCCCAGAGGATCGACGCCGTCTGGTCGCCCCTCCTTGCGTGCCACCGTCTTGAGAGAGTGCATCGTCATCGTCAAAGAACGGGTCGCATTGGGCAAAAGAAGATGATGCAGTAGGCGAGAACTTGGAGGAGCAGCAGACAAGTCCCCGCGCCTTGCTCAGCTCATCCGCCTGGCCACTGATCCTCATTAACTTGTCCTGGTACTGGGGCTCAGCAACCCCGCCGAAGCTCTGTTTCAGCGACACAGCAGTGGGCGCGAGATTAACCAGAGGTTCAGAAATGGCGGAAGGAGAAGGGAACGATGATGGCTCATCATATTCGTCCGCTGCTACTCTCATTTCAGATGCTCCTCGAGGAGTCCTGTCATCATTACTGTACCCCATCGGCTCGGCCTTCTCTCCTGCCGCCTTCCCCCTCACCCAATCTGCATTTTGGATCTTTGCGAACAGCTGCTCCTGAATTTCTGCAAGAACACGCAGGGTGAACAGATAAACCAGTCAGTCAGCCAATTGACAACATCGATCAAAGCGCTTATAGAACCCCAGATTATGTCTAGACTTCCTCTGCTCCCTAATCAGACCGCCAGAACAAGGTTAACGAAAAACAGAACACCTTGCTCTGGTCCTGCGCTTGCTCCGCTCTTCCGATTTCTTCAAAGCTTCGCTGTGCTTTGGTTTCCCTCACCATCTGTCTCTTCATCTTCACCTCGCTCCTCGCATGCATGCCCATATGCCCATGTTCTTTCTACCCTCAGACGAAGAAGATACCACATAATATACAACTAGCTTAGCTCCCTCAATGCGGGCCGTGCGGGCTACGCCCGCATAAAAAGCCACAGTAAAGATGAGTCAAAGTATTCACACAGAATCAAACGGACATATACAGCACAGCACATTGTACATGTATCGTTTACGAATTACAGAACTCTACGTTCATGCGCATTTCATAAACTAAATCAATATATTCTAAGAAACAGTTGAGAATATATGTTTCTCTTTTTTTTTTTTCAAGTTTCGGACGGTTGGACTTGGTTCCATATCTTCCTTCACCACACACAAAACCCAACCTACACCTACCTGTATTGTTTACAAATTGCAGAAGTCCACGTTCATGCACATTTCTTTAACTAAAACAACATATTCTAGGAATATAAATTCTTTTTTTCATGTTTTCGAAGTTGCCGGGGGCGGGAGCTCCGCCCCGCACCCACCCCTCCGGTCGGACTTGGTTCCATATCTTGCTTCACTACACACAAAACCAACCTACACCTACTTTCACATAACAGAAAAATGTAAACAGCGATTTCATTAAAACAAACATTTTACATTTTTTGAACGACATTGAAATCCACTTATTTGGCTCTGAAAATGTCACCGTTTTAGCTCCTGCAATCAGACTCGTTCTCAAACACACTTTTCATGCATGTATGCGCCCACTCAAAACTCGGAGATATGGCTTTCAGATACGAGTTCACTCTCAATTGGCTATGGCGACTTCAGCGCCCAAACATCTCACTGTTCACATACACTGGATCACCCTGGATATCCCACACGCATCACTCTAACACTCGAGCACACACACACACTCACTACTAACTACAGCTATGGCAGCTATGAATGCCTCTAACCTATCGCTATGCTAACTCCTCCTCTCTTGCCCACTGCGTCCTCCGGGCTCATCTGCAGACCTCCTTGCACAAGTCGCTGTGGTAGCGCTTCCGCATGGCTCACGCAGGAATCCATGAATGGCTGGGCGCTGCCTCTTGATTTATACTTCAGAAACTCGTTGGTCTGCCCTTTGCCATCGGCCCTTGGTGCTTACAGTCCCCCTGTGGTACTTGCTGGACCGGACTGGGACTGACTGGACCTTCCGTTGACTGACTGTGGACTCACCGCTATCCTACCGCCGTTGCACTGCTGTTSCACTGCGGTTTAGTCCACCACTTGCCTCACCACTTGACCACTTGCCCACTTGCCTACCTTCTAGAAGGTCTACAGCTAAGCTTCCAGAACTCACTAAGACTCCTACGCTATAGAYCTACAGATCGAACCCCTGCTGTCTATGGACCTACGACAGGTCTACCAACTGCCTACGAGTACACAGGTCACAGGTTCAATTCTCGGGGTCTACACAGATACTGTACATGGGTAGGGTGAGGTCTAGGGATCGAACCCTGGGTACTGCATCCACTACTGCTAAAAGGTGAAAACCGTTTCACTCCCGCCGTCCTAAATTCGAGGTCGTCCGAAAAAAATTTAGTCCAAGGCAGGACCTTTACCTTTCTTGTCACGCTCATAGGCCCTGACTATGTCGGGAGCGGTCTCTAGAAGTTCTGCTTTCGTGAACCAGCGGTCGTCTTCCGGTTCCTGATAAGCAAACCGGACCTTATACTGTTTCTGGGGACGACCTCTACCTCCTGTCCTAAACACATCCTCTTCTACAATGCCCTCTATGTCATAGCTTCCATCCATACCCGGTGGAATCATGGATCTCCTGGAAGGGAACTGTTGACTAGTGATACACGGCAGCAGCTTTGAAGCATGAAACACAGGGTATGTGTGGAGGTGTGCTGGAATCTCAATGCTATAGGACGGTCCAWCCTCTCCGCCCTTGACTTCTAGAACCGGCCACGGTCCTCTATATGCAGGCAATAACTTCTGCGAGATGTTTTCCTCCGGTGCAAACTCTTTTGCCTTGACCCAGACTAAGTCGCCTACTTGAAACTGTGATGGGCGACGGTGTTTGTTAGCCTGCTCTATCATTCTGTGCTGGGCCTTCCGTAGGTTCTCAACAACAGTGGCTAATTCCTTTTCGTGCTGTATCGCAAACTCCCTGGTACCGGGTGGTAATCTGTGAATCTGATCCCGGTTCAGTCCTTCGAACGGTCTGCGCGGTCTGAAGGACTTGTGCAACTCATTGGGGGTGCAGCAGGTGGAT